TGTGGGGAAGGAGGGAAGCTGAGCCCCAGAGAGGAGTGATGAGAGGGTCTCTAACTCCCTTAAAGTGGTTAATTCAACTTAAGCAGCATTCTGTTTTTTAACTGCAAGGACACCCAGATGAGTTTTAAATCAGAGTATTTCATGAAATACACTTCACAGCGGTGATTAATGTGTCCACGAGCTCGTATCTCTTTGCCAATGTGTTTCTGAGAGACAGTAAAGCTTCATATTGCTTAAACGCTTGCTCTCAGATGATTGTTGATTAGTTGCTGTCCAAATCTCTCTTAGATTTGGTAGACTTAAGATGATGGTATTGGGAAGGTAGAATTTGAACATAAATCCTTGTGCTTCCTTTTTGAATAATATTTCTTCAACTTAAAAAACAGCCTTGGAGGAGAGCACTGATGATGACAGAAACGATTCCATTTTCCTGGCTATAATAGCGGTGGCCTTTGCAATGATTTTTGTTACGGCATCCCTATTAATGGGGTTGTGGCAAGTAACATGGACTTGTTTGCTTGTCTTGTAACTCTCCATTTGTCACCTGGCAGGCTGAAGAGGAAACAGTGGCCTTTCTTGCTCACAGTGGAAGTGAAGAAGAGTTTGATCCAAGTACTCTTCCAGATCCTGATAAATACAAAGATTCTGATGAAGAGCAGGATTCAGAAAGCGAAGACAGCTGTAGGTAAGTACATATCTTCCATGTTCATTTTGAAATGTTCATGTTTTTTAGAAACTGTTTTGTTTGGATGTTAGGAACTCATTTTACAGTCGTTTGCTTGCTCCTGGGACTTAGTATTTAAGTTTGTTTGTGAGGCAGGTGTTGAACAGAAATTTGTGCTAAAGGCTATTATTTTCTTTTGTGAAGCTGTATGAGAAAGATTTTTGAGTCAGTGTTGAAGGGATCTCAGTGAGACTGTTCCACATGCAAAAATCTTGACTAATTCCCTGGAGGTTTCATGGTTTTCAAAAATACATTTCTCTACTGTCACATTGCAGGTTCTGTTTGAAAGGAAAAACGTTGAAGTCATTTGAGGATTTGGATGAGCCCTCTGTACCTATGCTATATGAAATAAATTTGTGCACGGTGAAACTTGATAAGTTTTATGATTCAGTGTTGCTCAGACTCTTCAACACTACAAATGAAGTGGAATCTGAGTTAGAATTAAATATATAATAAAATTAACAATGTTAAACTTTTCTTCTTAATTTAAAACAGTGTTTTTAATTATATAAACCAGAAGATTTTGTTTCTTGTAGTTTAACAGAAAAGCACAGGGTGGGGATGAGGATCCGTAGTTGATGGCAACATACTGCATTTCTTCAGCACATACTGAAGGAAGACTGAGGGATATTGCATGAAGTCCTGTGTGGTTTTTGTCATTGGCTTCATTGCAACAAGGAGTCCGTCTGTGTGTTTCTGACAAACAGCCTATTGTGTAACAGATTCAGAAACATGATCCTGACACTTAAATGGGCGTATAGATCATTACTTTGCTCTCTTCTAGATGTCTAGGTTCATAAATCTTTTGTTTTTCACGTCTGAATCAGCTAAATCCTAGTGGCTAGGTTGTCCCTAGCCCCGTGTCACTGGACATTGTGGGGGCAGTATGTAGGACTGGGTTTTGGGACATAAAGACTGCATAGCCCTAAGTTAACAGGCTGGTGACCATGTCCCTTGTAGCCTGTTCACCAGTGTGTTGGTCAATAGAACTGATGGATGGGGGAAATGCACTGCTTTTTCTGAGCAACAGTAAATTGCTCCTTCTTTGTGCAAGGGGGATAAAAAAGGTTACTAGAAGTCAATTACAGTTTCTTCTGGTTTTTCACTTCCCTAAGCTGATTCAATATCTCCAATCCATGTAAAATGAATGATAAAACTGTGTCAAAACGTCAATATGTCAACAAGCAGAAAATGAGACCCATCATTCTTAAACAAGATTCTTCCAGTTCCTTCCATATTTATGACCGCTTTACTCTGCCCATCAGCCTTTGGTGGGAGAAGCAGCATGATTTGTTGAAGTTGTTCTCCTTTAATGAAGTTTAAGATTCGGTAATTTTGGGGGAGGGCTATATAAGAGGATTGGTAGGTTGCTTTTCACATGTTTCTAGGGTTGAAATATATCTGTCCATATTTAATAAATGCATCCTCTAGTGCTATTTGTACATTGCTTGTAGTGGAACCAGGTTAATATGATGAAACTTTATTCTCAGCTTCCTCCAGGTAACATCAGTAATATGGTTAATACTGTCTTTTTAATATATGAGATTCTGATGAGTAAAACCTGGATATAAGGCAGCGATTTGAGCTAGAGGATCCTGTAAAACACCATTTTGTTGGAAGGGGCCATCTCTGTTTGGTCTAATATTAATGAAGAGACAAGGACCAGAAGAAAAGTGTAGTTAGCAATTCTGCATTTACGTAGGACAGTAACAGACGTGCCAAGAGAAGTATTTCAGGATACTAATGCTTCTCCATGTCAGACCATAGCAGTGCTGGTTCTGTCGTTTTGCCTTTGAAAGCAAATTCTGAGCTGACTTCTGTAGTAATGCTTTGCTGCAGGTAACAAAGAAGAGAGGGAATCTTGATAGTCATTGGTAGTTTGTTTCTTGGAAGGAGTAGAACCAAGAGTTTATTGAGAAAGTCTGAAGTAAAGCTTTGGTAAGTGGTTAGAGACTGAGCAACGCTTGTCTTATTGGTGTATATGTTGCTGCTGAAGGACAGATTCCTGGAATCCATTAAGCTGATGGACAACTGAGCTGGTGGGAAGGAGTTACCAGCAACCGAGTATAGGAAACCTAGTGTCACAACACTACCTATTAAATATTTAATTACCTTGAGCATTTCCTAATTACTGCTAAATTGTTGCATACTTTCTGTAGGAAAAAGGTAGCATTTTATCGCTGCGTTTCTTAAACAAGATTTTGCATTATTTCAACTTGTAGCCTTAGGTAGGCTTAGCTAGGCTTAGTTATCTTGACAATACAATGTTTTGTAGCATAACTACTTAAGAAGTATTTTGAAAAAGTTATGGGGTCAGTCAGTTTAAAATTGGGAATTTTGTCTAGTTTATTTTCAATATCATTAAGTAACCATTTATCTAGGGGAGATCACTTCTGTCTTTTTTTATGTATTCATACATCACTTTTTGTATTGTTCCTTTCCCCAAAGATGTCAGCTAGACTCAAGATTAGCTAAGCTTTAAGAATAAAAATTGACAGAGATGGACAGATTTTTGGCAGTGGTAATCAGTGCAGATTTTTTTGGAATCTGTGGCTGATCTGGCCCCCTGGAGTTAGTGTCTGCTCTCAAGGAGAGCTAGGACTCAAAGAAGATCTAGGGCCTTGGTCATTTCCCCTTCCTACGAAGCAGGTTGGAAAAGAAAGAACATACAAAAACGAAAACAGGAATTTATTAATAATTTCTGACAAAGTATTTTCCTCAGCAAATCTGAAAACACTTTACAAAGGAGGGCAGTATGATTTTTGTAGGCAGGAATGTTGAGTCACGTAGTAACTTGTCCTAAAGATCATGGCGGTGACGCAGGTCCGGGAATAAAATTAAGGCACCCAGAGGGCCCATTGAGTGCTCCATCCACTAGACAGCATTCCCTTTGAAACTACTAATCACATGTGGTAACTGATTTTTTAAAATATTTTTTCTTGTTTTCAGTATGCCAGGTTTACACATGTAAATGTAATACCACGTAGACACAGTTTAAACCTTTTTGATTTTCCATTTTATTGGACTTGTTCTTACTTGAATTACTTTTTCAGGGAATATTTTCTTGGAACTTTGATGTCTACAGTATTTCAGTTATCTCAAGGAGATTAGTCTTGAATGTAATTTGGGCTGAAGAGAGTAACTTTGAGCACAAAAAAATACACTATATATATATATATATATGATTCAACTGGAGTTGAGATATGGATTTTTTTCTGCCATGTATTAAGGCTTGTCAGGTTTTAATTTACTAAGTGTACTTTAAATATGTTGTTTGGACTATGTTTGGAGGTGATTTTAGAACAAAGTGCAGCATTAGAACATTTTCCATGGTACACTGCTATCTACATTGTATCCCTGTATTTGAAATACAACTTAAAATCTGGGAGGGTTTTATCTATTAAATTTTCTTTTTTTAAATTATGAATTTTGCCTTGAGCCTGGCAAAGGATCATTTATTTGGAAGGTTGGATTTTATTTGGTCTTTGGAACTTAGTCATGTGTGGAAGCTAATTTGTCTAAAAGTCATATTTCAGATTTTGAATAGGAGATGCCAAGGCTTATCGAATAAAACACATTTGATATTACAATTTCTTTAAGATGATATATGGATTTAAGATCTTGTATATGTTTGAAAATGTAGTTGATAGCCATTTAAAGTCTCAACATTATTCGGTTCTTTAAAAGGTGGTCTTGCAAAGAAACTGTTAAAACATACATTTTGTTATGATTTTCACATGCAATATTGGCACATTCTTGCCATGCAAACCTGCTGACTTACTTACACAGTTATGGTTTTTTTGGCATTCATTTTATGACTACAAAGTTGGAATTTGGTTTTGCTTCCTTAAGTAAAATGTTTGTGTAAATCTGTCATGTCCATTTAGTGCTCTGGGGGTTATAATCTGGCTGGGTCACTTTTTTAGTATCAGATTGGAGGTTTAAGCTTTCCCTGTCTAGGAGCAAGACATTCTTGGGGTAACAAACATGTCTCAAGAACTGCCATCACTTGAAGCTTCATAACCAGCCTCTGTCAACTTCAGGACACAGTACCGGTCGCAGTTGTTTGCCCTGAGTTTTGGTTGACTTTTTAATAATAGGAAAGGACCTTAACTTCTTCCAAGGGGATTTTTAAAGGTTTTTGTTCATTTTTCCGTCTTTACGCAGTTGGACTTAATACTTTCCTGCTTTTCAGTCTCGTCTGTGTTTGCTGGAGGACTAGTACAATGGATAATATGTTTTCAGCCTTTGTTGAGAAGTCAAGAGCACTGAAATTTGGAAAGTGAGTCAAATTGCTTCAAGTTCTTCTCCAGCATTTAAGCTGAATGGGAGTTAACAAGGACCCAAAGAGCAGTTTCAAACAGCCTAGCTAGACCTGACATTCAGAGCTTTCTAGAAGGGGCCACGTCAGTTTAGGCATTGCTCCAATGGGAAAAGTACTACAGATAAACCTGCAACATCAAAGACCACAGTTCTGAGTTAATTATCAACAGCAATTTCCAGAAGCAGATAGCAGAGACACTGGTATTATATCATAGCCGGGGACAGGCCGGGAGTGGATTTGTCAATCATTGCTAAGGATAGTAATTAAATTGAAGTGAGGGGTGAGAACAGCCAGGGCAGGTATGCAAAGGCGAGAGGAGAGTGAAAGACTGTGGGATGCTCATGAGGGCAAGAGCAGTGGGCGACAACGTGCCGATAGATAGATTTGGAAGATGACAGGTCCAGGACAAAATTACATTTCTAGGAGTGCCTCAAAGGAGTGTGTCAAAATTAAGAGCCATTGATGGCTCTGGTGTGCAGTGCAGCATGTGGCGGTTAATCCCGTGATGGCTTGGGCCTGCCTAGGGAACATCAGTCATGTCTTTACAGGCTAAATGGATTTGGCCAGGTCGCGGGCTTAAGTACTGGCACATGCTTGTTTGTATTGTCCACAACTGCTGTGACTTTGGATGGTGCCA